GAGAGAGAGAGAGAGAGAGAGAGAGAGAGAGAGAGAGAGAGAGAGAGAGAGAGAGAGAGAGAGAGAGAGATGGTTGTCGGGTGTCCGACTTTGCAGGTGCTTGTGCTCGCAGCACCTATCGTGGTTATCTTACTGAGTTGACCGTTTAGTCGTTGTGGCCCGGGCCCTGAGGTGCAACATGTACCAGGCTGGCGCCCTGGCCATTTGCATCGGGAACTGGTAAGGTGAGGAGTATTGCAGCGGAGCAAATGGGGTTGCTGCTGGTTGTTGGTGTCACTGGGAAACTATGAGGGAAGGGGCAGGTGTCGAAGCATACTGAGGAGTTCCACTGAGCAGTACTGAGCTTACTGCTAAGTGCATTACTGTGCACTATGTTGAGTACTTCGTAGGAAGTGCGCTAGTGTGTACTGAGCGGTATAGCGTTGTGACTCTCATATCGAGCACTCGTACTGCCACAGAAATCGAGCTGCTGCATGCCCTACTCGCGCGGTTTCAGGGGGTTGCCACGTCTTGGTTACACACTGAGTAGAGTAAGGAGGCGTCTGTTGGAAGGAGTCACAGAGTGTGAGGGCGAGATTGTTGACGACCATCAGTCCACGATTACTGCCAACAGTTCGGGCGGTTGATCGTGACGTTGGAATGGACCGCTTTCTCAGCTGGACCGCTGCTGCTACAGGCACCAATTGCGGTGACTGCATTACGGCCGCGGCATGTCGGTGGGCTGTTGTCACGATGAATGGGTTGCTGCTGCTGGAATAAGCTACGACAACACACAGCCTGTGCGTGGCGGGGCTCTTGTCGAGCTGCTGCAGCCCCACCTTGTTGCACACCCGTACTCCGTTGGGTTTAAGACTGTTGTGGCATCGGTGTTTACTGTGTCTCACGAGACCTGTTGCTATACGAAGCATCTGTTGAGCTTGCATTATCCATCTCTGTGGTACCGTTTGTCGTGCGACGCTTACTACAGCCAACAGTAGAGGTGTGTGTAGTCGCACAACGTAAGTATTGTCAGGGCCAATACCTCTGGCTATGCTCTGCTAAGCTAGTTGTATCTGTTGTACATCAGCAGGCTCTGTCGATTACCATAATCGGCAGGCGGCGGACTGTGGTTTTCGGAAAATGTGGACGTTTATTATGGTTGCTGCTGAAGATTGGTTACCTACGTTCTCTGAGTTGCGTCAGGCTTACTGCACATTGCCGTTTTGTTGTACGTTGGCCCTCAC